TTTCAGAGGCCAGGGGGCGGCCTGAGCCACCCGTTCGTGTTGGTCCCCGTCGGGCCCACCCCCTCCCGGCGTCACGAGTGCCCCGGGGAGGTGACCCCCGGGTCGCCGCTAGCGGACTTGGCGTTCCTGGCGGGGCTTGCAATCTCTGACCGCCCATACGGCGCGTCCGTCCACCGTGGGCCGGAGAGGACCCGGACCTGGCCCGGCGTCGGAGATCCGTGTCCGGGAGGCTGGCGTGGGCCGGGCTCTGCCCTTCCTCCTCCTGACTCACCTCAATCCGAAGGGCCCTTTGAGTCACAGTCGTGACTTCCCCAGTGACCCGCGGCCGCCACATTGCGAGGGACCAATGTCAGGGACAGCCGGTTAGTCTGGCAGGGAGTTTACCTGTCACCTCATAAGCGCAGTGCCCTAGGTGTGTTAATTGCCCCATAAAAGCTGCAGGACCGCCTTGCACCGTCTTTGCACAAAACCTGTATGTGTCATGCTATTTAAATTACTTATGTGGCCTGTGGCTGTTCATCCTTCTTGTGTTGTATTCATGGCTCTGTGAACCACACAAGGCGGAATGTGATTGAAAAAAGATAAACATGTTATAATGTAGTATAGTTCAGGAAGCCCTCTCACTCCCAGCCCATAACAAAACCCTGTGAGTTGATAGTTTTCCCACTTGTAAAATGGGGTTAATGGTGAGATTCTGGTTAAGAGACTTGGACTGCATCTCACAACCAAGAAGATGGCACAGATGGTCCTGTCCCTGGTCGTCTGCCCCCAGATCCCATGCGCTTTCCTGAACAGAGCTGTAGAGATTAGAAATGGATTGTTATTTAACCTGACTTCCCCCTTCCCCTAAACTGTCCTCCCAAGTAGAAGCAAACAGGAACTCACTGGTTGTACGTATTTGAATTTCTGTTACGGCATTAACGAGTGTTTTGATTAAAATTTTACCTGCTGTATTAACATTTTTAGTTTTTCTTTTGCAAGGAGGGGCATAAGGAATATAAATGAGTAAATCTGTGCTTTATTCATTATTTTTGTTTTCAAGAAACATCACGGGACAGAACATCACAGGCTTACCAGGAGCTCACTGTTCAATTGGGCATTTACAAGTTTACTTGGTAAAATTGGAAAAAAGTTTTGAAATAACAGTACCTAAGCCAAAACGCTGGTGAGGGTATGGGAATTCGAGGGACCTTGGAAACAGATGCATCGAGTGACCTCACCTGACTGGAGATGTTAAGAGGAAAAATCTGATTCTCCATTGTCTGACTTGATTTCTTTTTTTCCTTTGCATCAATAAGGTGAGATGGTGTGAGTCACCAGAGTCAGCAGTATGAGCTACTCTAGAAACGACAATGCCAAGGAGATTAATTACAGAAAACATTAATTGCCTTTGGCTCACCCCTCACTGAGTCTGTCGAAAAGCAAAACTAGACAGACAGCTAAGGGCTTTGGGCTACCTTGATTTTTGTTTCTTTTTAAAAGCTGACTCTCATCATAGGACAGTTAAACTCTATCAAATTTGTACCAAAAACTGAAATATCACTCCTCCAGGAGGAAGCTGTTTTTGAAAATTGGAATTGTATGTTTCAGTGTAAAATGTAAAATTTAGCTTGTAACTCCTTGGAGAGAAAGATGAAAAATTTGAACAATATATTACTTCCTTGTATATCATTGGCCGTAGTTAACTAAGAAGTTAACAGACGATTAATACAATCTTTTTTCTGATAGTAGTTAATGGGAGAATTAAGAGATATGGGTCACATCTCCTTTTGTGTTGAACACAGTGAAGGTTATTTGCTTTTTAACTTAATTCATTGTATCTGATAGGTTTATTTGTGTAGAGACATAGGATGAAAGCTCTGTCTTTCATTGTAATGTGAATAATCTCTCAGGATATTTTTGCCTTGCTGAAGAGTGCCATTACTGATTCATTCTTGCCAGCAATGAGAGAGGTGGGGAGCGAGTCTTTAATTGGAAGAGGTAATATAACTGCTTATACTGGGGTCTTCTATTTTTAAGTTCTGGTTTTTTTTTAAGTTTTTTGGGGGTGGGGGGTAATTAGGTTTATTTGTTTATTTTCAGAGGAGGTACTGGGGATTGAACCCAGGACCTCATGCATACTAAGCATGCGCTCTACCATTTGAGCTATACCCTCCCCCTTCTATTTTTTTTATATGGAAAATATTTCACTCTGGTGACCACTCAGGTGCTCTGTAGTATTATTCTCTCTATGGTTTACTTCTCCATATTGACTTCATTTATTTACTGTAAGATGTCTCCCATTGTATTACACGTTTTAAAGCCAGGTAATGAAGGCAGCTGACTTTAAATTCTTTTTAAACTTATAATAAACTGAACATACAGTAGTGAAATACATAACTGATGGTCTGGTCTAGCAACATTACATATATCTACAGAATATGCAGTTACATTTATTCATAAATCCTTTTGATATGACCAGTGTCTTTCCATTTAAGAATAACAATGATTTTTGGAGTTTACTATAGATAATTTAGAGGTGCATAGCTGTTGTGAAGGAACTAAATTTACAATCAGTTCATCAGAGGACTGCATCTAAATTGCCATCATGGCTGGCTGAAATGGAGCCAGGAACTCCTTCTGGGTCGTCGTATCAGCCACATCTATATTCAGACCTTACAAGGCAATATTCCTGAACCCTTAACTAGGTATTTTGAAACAGCGGTTAAATTCATGAGGCTCTTCTCAGTGAGCAGGTTTTAATGTTGCTTTGATGTAATTTTAGAAGGCTTTTAGCAAACGTGTATTTCTCAAAGTGATGTATTTCTTCTAAGCAGATATTTTAATAGTAATCCAAAGGCTGTTTAGTCTGCTTATGGAATAGAAATTGCATCAGGATACACGTCTTCTTGCTGTTCAATGATGTGATGTTGAGGAGGGTTCTTTTTCAAATGTATGCTTAAGTATCTCTATGAAAGTCTGCAGATACACTGCTTTGTACTTCAAAATGATTGAATTGTTAAGTACAAGATTGAGCTAATTAATCAATTTGTAACCATTGTTTTCACTCACAAACAACTATACAACACTAGACAATGTTTTGCATCTAATTTACATTTAATTTATATTGGAGTGAAAGATAAACTGTTTTTCTCTAAAAAAAAAAAGCTGTAGTGGTATATTTTTGGCCATGAGAAAAACATTTTACACCTTTTGAGCTGCAGTTTCTGTATCTGAAAAATGAGGTTAATACTTGATGATCTTTCAAGTCTTTGGCGCCTTGAATGCTACTTTTTGATCTAGGATGGGGTTTCCAAACCTTTATATTTCACTGGGTTTGGAATTTGGCCTGGGAACCTGTGTTTAAAGTTTCCCATGTGATTCCTGTTTGGGGCGACTTGTCTAAAATACAGGCTGGGAAGAAGAGGGAGTAGACTGGCAAGAACGCAGAGAAGTAAGTGACGGGATACACGAGGGAGACAGCAGGGAGGACAAAAAGAGGGATTGTTGTACGCAATGACTGCTGTCAGCCTTTCTGTCGGAGGCCCAGCAAGTGGATATTCTCTTCTCTCTACTTAGAGGAAAAAATTAATTTTTGTCACACGAATAGATTTGTTTCCTTCCCAGGAGTATCATGGGCCTAATTATTGTCATAGTTCTCAGTAACTTTAAAAGGGCTTTGAGAAAGAATGGCATAAAGAGACAGATGTCTTGCATCCCGCCAGCCTGACTTTTTCTGAATACTCCTAGCTTCCTGCCTTTCTCCTGATGAACCCTCTGTCTTGGAAGACTCAGGTTTCCCTGTCAAGTATTATATTCAATCCCACAATTACCTGAGGGCTGTGGGAAGGTGCTAGCAAGATTAAAACAACCTGCCATCAAGCTTTTAGCTAATCTAGCTGGCTCGCCTGCCTCATCAGTCACTGTGATGATCATATTTATTATGCCAAACACTGGGACCAGTAGTCTGAGCGTACAGGTGTACTGAATGAGTTGGTGAGACAGGATATTTGAGTAAACTGTCCTGGAAAATCTGGAACACAAGGCTCTGCCTTTAGCATGTTGTCTGTACTGCACAATTAGTATTTATACTATAGTACACCTGATATGTTATTTATCTTTCTATTTCTCCATCTCTCTCTCTCTCTCAAGCTACTTGAAGTCCAGAATAAGATCTTAGGCCTCTTTGTAATTCATGGAGCCCATGAGCGTTATAAATATTTGTTGATGATAACATGGCATGTCACATGCCCAAGTGTAGTCATCCCTTCCTTAGATACTGGATCTGCTGTTCTCTCTGGCAAGACTGCTACCAGCTACTGCAGAGTAACTGTTGTCACCTGAAACTCCTTCCAGGGCAATTTAGAGAAGGTCA